TTCCCTAATACAAAACTATTTTTAGTGTTCCCGTTTTAAAATTCAGGTATGAGGCCACAACATTAGTGAGATTACTTGCCATCAAAAAAGAAAAAACAGGTTCTTTGTTACTAATAACACAAAACCCACACCTCTTCCTGTATGATTAAATTACAGGTTCCCTGATCTGATTTTTAGAACAAGAATTGACACCCCCACACCGAAATTCATCCATACATTTCAAGTTAAAAGTTAACAGATCAAACAGAAAAATTTTCAAAAAGATGTTCTGATACTGACACTGATGTAACCTTAAATATCTGCTATCTTTAATAGCAGAAGGTGTTTTCAATTGCTTACAACATTATGAAACCCTCAAAGAGAAAGAAATATTTGTGAGCCCATGTTGTTGTGAAACATGCTACTACAAGAGTTTTGCTTTCTGCTTAAGGGTTTCCTTTTATGCCAAGTCAGAGAGAATTTCCAGCAAATCAGGAAAAAAACCCAACCCCAACCACCACACAACTCGGAGAAGTGCTGTCAAAGTGACAGCTCTTTACACAGGAATAAACGATAGAGGCAAGGACACAGTGCACTGGCAACAGAAATCTCAGGCTAGGAAAGCTCTGCACAGAAATGAAATTGTAATTCAGGCGAGCAATTCATCTATCATTGATTTATCTTTGATCTTCTCTCAGACACCTTCAGAGGTCAAACCCCCCTCATCTGGAGAGTGCCTTCATGAAGGGGGAAGTAAGACTTCTCAGTCGTAGACACCAACAAGTTAGGAAGTGACTCCCACTTCAATTAAACACAAAATGAATTTTTATCCCAGGCTTTTAAAACAAGAAGAAATTGGTTGTTCAACACAAAATTCAACACAACCCTTTACATACCATTCGCCCTTTATTTCCAACACAGCCCAACATGTATCCATACATCCCTCACACTCCCTATTTTAGATGGAAAGAAATTTTTATCTGGTTTTTGACCAAAATTTGCTGTTTGCAACTATTTGTCTGCTTTAGCTGAAGCACATGCTGGAGTATCTCATGGAATTCGCCAGTAGAGGGAGAACACGGCAGGAAACGAAGAACAGAATCCAGTCTTTCATTAAGCAGAAAGACACATGGAATAAAACTGCAATTACCTACTTGGAATGTGTCCAGGATTCTAATTAATAGGATCAACATCCCTCTGCTGATGAAACATGTCCAAGAACTTTTAACTAGCTCAAGAGGTCAGGACTTCATTTTGGTTTGCCTGGGGTTTAGAATCAGATGGCATTGGCAATCACTGCAAAGTTTCGGCTTAACACCACACTAAGGCTCATGTTCACCACAGACTCACGGTCGAGTCTAACATACAGACCTTTCAAACGCAATTTTCCGTAGCACATAGGTTACCTGGAAGTCTCCAATCAGGATTGATACAGTTTAACTTGGCTCATCAATCAGGCTCATCACAATGGGAAAGGGAACGGCCACTTTCAGCAAAAAGTGTTGAAGTTCACGTTGACTCCTTTTATTTTTATTAACACTCGTAGAACTTTTGCTTCTGTGCTTATCAAATAGAAGAGCATGACTTTTTTTTTTAATTAAAAGGAAAAAATACATAAATAAGGGTGTCAAGAAGAACATCTCCTTCTGGTCTAAGACAGCCATTCCTACCTCTGACATTTGGTCTTTTCCCTGTCACACTAACAAGGGGAAAGGAAATTAGGGGTTTTTTCCCCCTCCAACTTAAGGTGTAGCCACAAATTCAATACATATATGAGCAAAGTAGTATTGCTGCTGGACCCAAAGGAAAAAGAAATGTGCATCATGGCAGATATTCTTTACCAGCAAAAAACATTAATTGGAGTGACGCTAAAAACAGGATTGGGAGTAAAGGAATTTTTGGAACTATATCCCAAGTAAAAGTTTCCTAAATAAAGCAGCTTTAATTTTTATATTTGTTACCTTTCTCTACACTCCAAAAACATTCTCTCTCCCCCTCCCATCTATTACAGTATCATCAAATTCATTTGAAAAGCAACATAATTAACTCAAAAAATTCTACAGGTGCAAGGTACGCCAAGTCTTGTAGACAACTCTAAGATCATAACTCTTGATTAACTAATGACACGTTCTGGCACTTTCGGTATGCTCTGTAAGCCATGTGCCACAGCATCTAAATTACCAAGTAATTTAATGCTACAACCCCTCCTGTCCCTAGAGGAGCAGCTGCTTTCATCATCGTTACTCAGCAGGACAGCATGCTCCTCCCCACTCTCCTCTCTGTACAGTCATGGGTTGAATGCAGAGGAGAAAACAGAGCAAGCAGGTAGAAATGACAGAGGCAGAGTCTTGCGACAAACCTACGCAGCTCTTGGATTACACACTCTCAAGCCACAGGACCAGCTCCCTCCAGGTCCACAAAATCACCCCGTGGAGAAGGACTTGGGGGTACTAGAGGATGAAAAATTGGACATGACTTGCCAAAGTGTACTCGTAGCCCAGAGAGCCACCCGTGTCCTGGGGGCATCCCCAGCAGCGTGAGCAGCAGGGCGAGGGAGGGGATTGTCCCCCTCTGCTCCGCTCTGGTGAGACCCCCCTGCAGTGCTGCCCCCAGCTCTGGGGTCCTCAGCACAGGACAGACACGGAGCTGCTGGAGCGGGGCCAGAGGAGCCACGGAGATGGGCCGAGGCTGGAGCAGCTCCCGTGCGGGGACCGGCTGAGAGAGTTGGGGGTGTGCAGCCTGGAGAAGAGAAGGCTCCGGGGAGACCTTAGAGCAGCTTCCAGTGCTGAAAGGGGGCTACAGGAGAGATGGGGGGGGGCTTTTTAGTAGAGCCTGTTGTGATAGAACAAGGAGTAACGGTTTTAAACTCAGAGAGAGTAGAGTAGATATAAGGAATAGATTTTTTACAGTGAGGGTGGTGAAACACCGGAACAGCTTGTCCAGAGAGGTTGTAGATGCCCCATCCCTGGAAACAGTCAAGGTCAGGTTGGACGGGGCTCTGAGCAACCTGATCTAGCTGAAGATGTCCCTGCTCATTGCAGGGGAGGGGGATTGGACTAGATGAACTTTAAAGGTCCCTTCCAACCCAAACTATTCTATGATTCTGTGAAAAATGATAATACTACGAACGCTGGATGACACCTAAGGCAGCTGTACCCTCAGTTTATCTCCACCATTTTTAACGCCTTGTTCACATCCAGGAAGTCCCTTCCTGACAC